ATATGTCCACTATGTAACCATAATATGTGTCCTTTCCGTTCTCGGTTGCTCCATCAAAGCGGACACCGCTGTTTTGGTTGGTGCTCTTTTAATCTTGGGCGATCGTGTAAAATGTATTCCCATTTATCTCGTATCCTTTGTAAGTCAATACAGTCAAAGATGGTCCCCTGGACAACAAGTACAGCTCATCACAAACAGTGTTGTCACCTCTTAGACGTGTTTCCAACCAACTGCTGAAAGTCCTGATGTGTTCACATGTAATCCAGTCGTCGCACTGCTCCGGGTGTTTGGAGCGCAGACTGTTCTTGTGTTCATCGACATACGGGGTCACCAAGGTAGTGTTATGTAGAACTGTGTAGTGTGCTTGAGACCAAGAATATCCGTCCCTGCATATTATTGAGTCACTTCCAAGAGTGCCTTTTCCAGTCAGTCTCCCCTCATACCGCGATTTAGGGAGACCTATCTTCTTAAGGCCAGGAATGAAGTCAACACAAAACCCGATAACATCCTCTGTTTGATGGCCCATGGAGATGCTTCCTTCTGGCCTAGCGCGGTTACGGACATATTTGTTTAGGACTCCCATGAACCTCTCAAAGGGGAACATATTGTGTAGAAATACGGGCCCCAGAATGACAATCTCGTCGACTAGATAAACTAGGACGTGCGTCATGATATTGAAGAAGGACGGTGGGAACACCAGCTCGAAACTGACAAGACACTGCGCCACATCACTCCTTAGCCTTGGTATGATTTCTGGATCGATCACCTTCTGAGAGATTACATTGAGGAATGCACATAGCTTCACAATGGCTAATCGGACGTTTTCCGGTAGAAGCCCCCTCAATGCAACCGGAAGCAGTTGCATCATAATCACGTGGCAGTCATGAAACTTTAGGTTCTGAAACTTTTTCTCTGGCATATTTATTATTCCTGTTATATTCGACAAGAAGCCAGTCGTGACCTTCATACTGAGCAGGCATTCAAAGAAGATTTCTTTCTCTTCTTTCGTAAGAGTGTAGCTGGCAGGACCTTTATACTGCTTCGGAGGCATGACGTCTTTTTCGTGCAAACTGCAGGTCCTCCCGTGCCTCAGGTGTATCTTTTGTCTTCCCATACACGCCCAAGAAGCCTAGCAGGTTCACACAAAGGTTCTTCGTCATGTGCATCACGTCGATTGAAGAGCGGACCTCTAGGTCTTTCCAGTAGGGTAGGTCCCAAAATATAGATTTCTTCTTCCACATGGGTGCGTGTCCCTCAGCGTCATTCGGAACAGCTAGTCCGCCGGGACCCTTTCCAAAGATTACGTGTAAATCATTGACCATAGCAAGTACGTGATCACCGGTATGCATGGCGGGCTTCTTCTGGTGATCTGGCTCGCCTTTGAAATGCTTGCCTTTCTTTCGACATTGATGGTTGGTCGGAAGAAATCGACGATGGCCCAGGTACACATTCTTCCTGCATTTGTCTAGGTATATACTTTTAGTGTCATCTAAATAGTGCGTGGATGCGTGGTATCCTTTGTTTGTCTGTCCTGAAAGGTTACTGAGAGCGGGCCAATTGTTGATGGTCACGAACAGCAACGCCTTTAGGTTAAATTCCTCCTGTCTGTGCTCATCCCACGTACGTACATCGTTTCCATTCCACGGCTGTAAAATTTCTTCAACTAATGGCCTTAGGTACACATCAATGTCGTTGCTGGGTTGCTTAGGGCCTTGGATGAGAACTGACATCATAATGAACTTCTGCTTCATGCACATCCAAGGAGGAAGGTTATACATACATTGAGTCACGGGCCAGGTGTTGTGATTGCTGCTCTGCTCCCCGAAAGGATTAATGCCATCCGCGCTTAAAGCAAACCATACGTTCCTTGGGTCCTTTGCAAACTCATCCCAGTACTTTCTCTTGATTTTTCTCCGCTGTGACCCGTCAGCGGGTGCTCTCAACTTCCCGTCTTTCTTACGGTCCTCACTGTGCCATCGCATCAACTTGGCATGCTCTTCGTTTCTGAATAGACGTTTCAACCGTGGTATTATAGGAGCATACCACATCACCTTTGCAGGAACCCTCTTCCTGGGGGGCTCGCCGTCAACATCACTAGGGTCATCTCGTCTGATCTTATACCGCAATGCACCGCATACCGGGCATGCGCTCAAATCCTTGTATGCACCGCGGTAGAGGATGCAGTCATTAGGGCATGCATGTATCTTCTCCACCTCCAATCCTAGAGGGAATACGACCTTCTTTGCTGCGTATGTATTGTCGGGCAATTTGTTATTCTTTGGAAGCTTCTTCTTCAATATTTTCGGTAGCTTCTCAAATCCTTTGTCAGGCACATCATTCTCTGCCTTCCACTGCAGTAATTCCAGTACGGTACCGAGATTTGTGTTGCCATCTTCGCAATTGGCGTACAACCCTTTTTTGTGATCCTCTAACATGCGATCGAACTTCAGCTTCTCCTTTTGACTTTCGCATTGCGTCCTTGCATCGACAATGACCCGGCGGAGATCATCATCATCAGGCACATCGTCTGGTTCCTCTTGATCTTCAGCAGCTTCACCCGTTGCAGCATCATTGGGCACATCGTCTGGTTCCTCTTGATCTTCACCAGCTCCCCCCGTTGCAGCATCACCGTATTCAAGGGGCACATAGTTGTCATCGTACTCTTCTTCTTCGCCGTCTTCCATCATAACCCCTATTTCTCCGTGCCTCGTCCAAACATTATAGTGTGGCATGAAACCCTTGTAAAGCAGGTGGGAGTGAAGGATTTTCCGGTTAGAATAAGACCTCATATTCCCACATTCAGTGCATGGACAACACATAAAACCATTCTGCTTGTTTGCCTCAGCTGCATCGAGAAACTCATGCACGCCCTTAATGTACTCGCGGGTGTGTCTATCACCATACATCCATTGCCGGTTCATCTGCGTGCATTATATATAATTAAGTGTCCAACTTAATAGAAGTTCATCATCACATTAGAACCAAAGTGCATACATAGTTCTCATCTAACAACATATAGCTCTCCAGAGCATCTAATTAATTAAACCATACATTGAAACTATGTAAAACATTTCAATGCGAAAACAAATGCGATCATAATCACAACTAAGGTAACAATTGATCCAACGGCATAATGATACCAAGCCTCGGTATGAATGGCATATTTTCTAATCTTTCTAATCTTCAAGCGCATTGTATCCATCTTGATCTTGTGATCATCGACGACATCCGCAACATGCAACTCCAATATCGTCTTCTCCTCCTCAATTTTTTTTTATTTTTTCCTTCAACAAATTGTTTTCTTCTTCAACTAAATTTAACCTCTCGACAATAGGGTCGGTTGGCATTTCCGATTCACATACATCCTACATAAATAAAATCTATGTCACGTTGGTCGGCATAATTTTCATAAACAATAAATGAACCAATAGTTATAAAGATAATATATATACCACATCCGAATCATAGACAGGACGAGGGCCGACGGGGGCGGATACCAAAACCATCGCACTATATAAGATGCAATAATAAAAGTAAGAAAATAATACAAGTATCTATGTAAACATACAAGTAAGAATATTTTTTCTTTTCAGAAAGAAAATAAGAACAAGAGGCTCACCACGGTGGTGCCGGCGATGAGCTCGGCGCAGGTGATCGACGGCGGTGAAGACGGGGACGGGGCGTGACGGACCGCTAAACCTAGACAAATATTGAGGAAAATGGAGCTTGGAGGTCAAGCTTGAAGAGGAGAAAGCTTAAGTAGTGTGGCTCGGGCATTCCATCGAACACCTTGTGTGCATAGGAGGTGAGCTAGAGCACCACCAAGCCCTCTCCCCCTCGGCCAGAAAAAACAGAGCAGTGTGCTCTGCTCTTATGCGAGGGGGTATATATAGACACCTCATTGGTCCCGGTTGGTGGCATGAACCGGGACTAAAGGGGAGCCTTTGGTCCCGGTTCAGGCCACCAACCGGGACCAATGGTGGTGGGCCGGGAGCGAGGCCCATTGGTCCCGGCTCGTCCCACCAACCGGGACCAAAAGGTCCAGACGAACCGGGACCAATGGCCCCATGGGTCCCAGTTCTAGACTGAACCGGGACTAATGGGCTAACCTGGCCTGGATCGTTGCCCCCTTTTCTACTAGTGTGGAGTGGGCTCGTAAAAGACTTACAATTTTGTTTAGCAGGAATGATCATTCTGCAGGGTTGGAAAGGAAGAAAATTCTTGAAGAGATGGATGAACTTCTTATAAAGGAAGAAATGCTTTGGAAGCAAAGATCTCGGTTGGACAAGATAAGAGGAGGAGACCGTAATACTAATTATTTTCAGAGGAAGGCTTCCTGGAGATCAAAGAAAAATCATATTTCTGATCTAAGGAAGGAGGATGGGTGCCTCACGGAAATTTTGGAGGAGATGAAAGGTATCACTAACTCATCTAACATTCTTAAGAAGTTGTCCTCACTATTACCAATTTTCTCAACATGCAACTGTCCACATCGGCTTTATGCCGCGTCATCATTCAGTAAAGCATATCCACCTATCACAGTGCCACGTCTGCCGTCAGTTTTTTCCCAGCCACCCGCCAACTGCGCATGTCTCCAGGCCTTAATTTCCCCGACTGCTCATCTTCTCCTATTCTTCTGCCACTCCCGGTCTCCCCACCACAAACGCACATGAAACGGATGGGGGATGTGAGCAATCATCCACCCCTCCGTTTTACAATCTCCCCGTCCCTCCAATACCTTCGCACTATACACAGTACTTCGCACCAAGGCACTTCCTCCCGCACCGCACCAAGGCCCTTCCTGATTGTAAGCACGTTCGAGCTCTTAGCTATGGCGCTCGCGTTGGATTCCCATCAACCTTTTTCCCGTGGAAGGAGTGATCGATGCCGCAATCCCGGTGCAGCCAAATCAGTCTGTGCGCGCACCGTTGTTCTGCTCCGGGACCTCCTTCCGCCGGCGGCCTCGGACGAGCTGCTCTGTTCCGGTCCTTCCTCGCCAGATGGCGTCCTCAGATGCACCAGACGCGGCCATCGCCGTCGCGGCCCCGATTCCAGTCGGACGCTCTGCTCCGGGCCTCTCACGCCGGACGCTCCGGACGCGCCTGATGCGGCCATCCCGCGCAACTGAGGAAGCCTGTGCGCAGGCGTTGCCCTGGTACGGCCCCTCCTCGCACAGACAGCCACGAACCATCTGGGGCAAAAGAAGCCGGCAGCGGCGGCAAGCAATCCCATCAGGCCACGGTACACAAGTTTAATTCATCCATCGTCTCCCATGCTATTTTCTAGACGAATCTGGTAGATTTTCTTCTCCCTCCCGATCTTCTCTATTTGCATCACTACTATCAATAGCTGGGTGTCCAAACTCCTATCCAGATTTGTTAATGTTTGCTCTGGGAAGTCAAACCGAGTTGAAGCCTCCTTCGTCGATGCTCATCTCCGTCCAGTGTCTAGATGGGAAAAATTGGAGACCTGGCTGCCACCACCGCACCTACAGGACGCCTGCTTGGGAATCTGAAAAACTCTATGGTACGTCTTCCTGAACGTGAGTTCAAGCCTCTACCATGGCTCATCCCCTTCTCCTTCAGGCACCAAGTGTGTTGGGCGGACAAAACTGGAGCCCTCGCTGCCGCCACGGTGCCACCACGCGGCCACCTGATCGGCAAATCCGAATCACTCTACATGTACACCTTCATCTTTATTAGGTGTTCAACCATCTTGCATAATTTGGGATTCTTATTGACTGTTGCTTCCTACCCGTTCAATTTGTTGATGTACCAGATTCATGGTGTTTGGATTTAATTGGAAGAAGTGGTAAGTGTCTTTCAATCTGCAATCAATTGGATACAACAATGAAGAACACTTGATTTTTTTTTTGCAACAGATTATAGGCTGCCGCACGCATATGTTTATCTAACTCAAACTAGACGATGAATGATACCTGAGCCAGTCATGTCGCTCATCTTGATCTGCCATCTCCATTTTCTCAGTCAGGTTGGATGTAGATCTACATAACTAGATTTTCGTGAAATTTTACTCTTTGTAATGTGCCATTTGCAGGAAGGCCATTGCTGCAGATGGATCCAAATAAATTTCCTGGCATGTTCTCCGCATCTTCGACTGATGCTTTCATGTCATATGGCGCTGGAGCATATCAATGATTTCCTTTTGTTCGGTCATATGAATTCTTATGATGAGATTGGATTCTTTATAGACAGGAATCACCAACACACATAGTTGAATGAAAGTATCACGTATGTGCTACTACATTTTTTAATAGATTATGTCCGATGGGGCTAGCGCAAACTGATTCTTATTATGTAGAATCAATATATTGCTATATCATGATTGGTCTTTATGCCCAGCGAATATTGAATCCGCCTAAATTGATCTTAGGATGTAGTATATGGTTCACGATCCAAGTAGAGATTACACAAGAAGTCAAGAACTGGTATTTTTCAGTCGAACTTTTTTCCTCAGTTTGTGAAGATCTGCAACATTTAACATGTGTTTTTCTTAGTTATGGTGCTTCGAACCAGTTCAATATTTAGTAGTCCCTATTGGATGTACTATTATGTATTCTCCTGAAAAGAACCATTGTATTTGTCAGATAAGAATGGACGAGGTTAGTTGATGCGACACATTTTCAGTTCTGTGAAATGTACGTCTTCAGAATTTCACTCAGTCACCTTAGATAACCCTTTTGTTCTCCATATAAGGCTATCTCTTTCAGCGTGTTCAAGTAAAAATAGCTAATTCACCTTTTTAATCTTCATAATAGGTCTGTCTGTTCCAGCATATTCAACTAAGAATTGTCATATGCATCATCATTCATTGGTTCAATCTTCATTGATAATCTGACAAAAAGTTCACTACTTTGGTACTATGAAAACTTTTTGAAACCGACAAGCTAACCTTCTTTATCAATTAAAATTTTGAAGTCTCTCATAACTTTTTGAAGGATTTTTTTTCACGGTTTACAATTTACTCACTTACTAAATCCTTCTCCTATACGATGCTACAAATTCCCGCAGCAATGCGCGGGGTATCATCTAGTTCTTTAAACAACTTTACTCATGTGATGATTTAGTTGACCTGTCCCATATTATTTCGCTGGTCAATCCCCTTGTCTCTGATGATATGAATATGGAGCTTTGCAAACCTTTTATGGATCAAGAGATTTGTGATGCGCTTTTCCAAATGGGGCCGTTAAAGGCTCCGGGGCCGGATGGTTTTCCTGCAAGGTTTTTCCAGCAGAATTGGGGTTTGATCAAGGAGGATATTGTTAAGGCTGTCCAATAGTTTTTTTATTTCTGGAGTTATGCCTGAGGGGATTAATAACACAATTATTGTTCTCATCCCGAAAATTAAGAACCCTCAGTCTATTAAAGATTTCAGGCTGATCAGTTTGTGCAATGTTATCTACAAGATTATTTCCAAATACCTTGTTAATAGACTTAGGCCGCTCCTTAATGGTATGATTTCCCCTACTCAGAGTGCGTTTATTCCGGGAAGGTTAATTTCTGACAATGCTCTCATAGCCTTTGAATGTATGCATTCGTTGAGTACGCTTAAAGATTTAAGAGGGGAATTATGTGCGTATAAGTTGGATTTGGCGAAAGCTTATGATCGCGTAGACTGGCATTTCTTGCAAAGTATGATGGGGGCTTTGGGTTTTGCGCCGAGGTGGATAAATTGGATTATGTTGTGTGTTACATCGGTGAAATTTGTCGTCCGCTTCAATGGACAGTTGTTGGAGTCTTTTTCACCTTGTAGGGGACTCAGGCAGGGGAGCCCTTTATCTGCGTACTTGTTCCTTTTTGTTGCTGAGGCACTTTCTTTGCTGCTTAATGATGCTTCAGCCAGAGGATCTTTTCAGGAGTTTCATTTGACTAGACAAGCTCCAGGTATTTCTCACTTGCTGTTTGCGGATGACAGTATTTTATTTTTCAAAGGCTCCACTGATCAAGCAATTGTCATTAAAAATATTCTGATGAAGTACGAGAAAGGGACTGGGCAGTTGTTAAGTCCTGATAAGTGTTCCATGATGTTTGGGAAAAAGTGCAGTTTAGAGAATCAAGTGGCTATTATGGTAATCTTAAAAATTGCGGTCGATGGGTTCGAAGATAAATATCTTGGTCTTCCGGTTCCTGACGGAAGAATGAAAGCTGGTAAGTTTCAATCTACTAAAGATAAGGTTTTGAAAAGGCTCTCTGACTGGATAGAGAAATACGCTTCGTGTGGGGTGAAAGAAGACTTAATAAAATCAGTTATTCAAGCTCTACCCGTGTATGCTATGGGTATTTTTAAGTTCCCGGCTTCCCTTTGTGAGAAGTTAACACAGATTATCAGGAATTTTTGGTGGGGAGATGAGGAAGATCGAAGAAAAACACATTGGTTAGCTTGGGACAAATTAACAAGGTCTAAAGGTAAGGGAGGTATGGGATTCCGGGATCTCAGATTATTTAACCAAGCCCTCTTAGCCAAACAAGCGTGGAGGTTATTGGTTCATCCAGATTCGTTGTCTGCTAAGCTGATGAAGGCAAAGTATTACCCTCATGGACTTATTCTTGATACAGTGTTTCCTCGGTCTGCATCAGTGACTTGGCAAGGTATTATGCATGGTCTTGAATTGCTTAAGAATGGTGTCATTTGGCGGTGGGTGATGGATCTAGCATTAATATTTGGAGGGATAATTGGTTACCCAGGAGCACTAGACTTAAAATTTCAGCTAAAAGGCATAATACTAGATTGAAGTGGGTTTCTGATTTGTTCTTGAGTGGGAGAAAGGCATGGGATGAAAATTTGATCAAGTATCTTTTCTATCCACATGATGCAGAGGAGGTTCTTAAGATTCATATTCGTGATCAAGATGGACTCCGGAGGCCATACGCAGGAGGCGCGATCAAGACTGTCTCTCCTGAAGACTTGACATATACTCCAAGATTTTTGTCGCCGCTTAGCTCATAGCTACCGACCTTGTAACCCTAGATACCCTCACTGGCATGTATATAAGCCATAGGGTTTAGCTCGTAGAGGGGACATCAACACAAAATTATTCACCTAGCCCTAGAGTTAGACCACACATTACGATCTCGAGGTAGATCAACTCTATACTCGATACATCTTCATCAATATGAACAAGAGCAGGATGTAGGGTTTTACCTTCATCAAGAGGGCCTGAACCTGGGTAAACATCGTCTCCTTCGTTCCTGTTACCCTAGATCGAAGAACCATAGCTCGAGACCCCCTACCTCGAGGTCTGCCGGTTTTGACACCGACAGCCAGACTTACACGGTGAGGTGTCAAAAAGGAGAAATTTTTGGGCCTCGAGCCTGTGTTTGGGCCGGGCTTACACGTGGAGGTGTCAAAAGGAGTAATTTTTGGGCCCCGGGCCTGTTTTTGGGCCGGGCTTACATGTGGAGGTGTCAAAAAGGAGTAATTTTTGGCCTCGGGCTTGTGTTTGGGCCGGGCTTACACGTGGAGCTATCGAAAGGAGTATTTTTTGCGCCTCACGCCTGTGTTCGGGCCGGGCTTATACGTTGAGGTGTCGAAGAGTAATTTTTTGGGCATTGGCCATGTGTTCAAGCTAGGCTTACACGTGGAGCTGTCGAAAAGGAGAAATTTTTGGGCCTCGGGCTTGTGTTTGGGCCGGGCTTACACACGTGGAGGTGTCAAAAAGGAGTAAGTTTCTAGGCTCGACGTGTGTTCGGGCCGGGCTTACACGTGGAGGTGTCAGAAAGGAATATTTTGCAGGCCTCAGGTTGTGTTTGGGCAGGCTTACATGTGAAGGTGTTGAAAAGGAGTAGTTTTCGGGCCTCGGGCTGGCCTTACACGTGAAGGTGTCGAAAAGGAGAACTTTTGGGGCCTTGGGCATGTGTTCGGACCGGGCTTACATGTAGAGGTATCAAAAAGGAGTAAATTTCGGTCCTTCTGCTATGTTTGGGTCGGGCTTATACGTGGATGTGTCGAAAATGAGTAATTCTTGGGCCTCGGGGTGGCCTTACACCCGGAGGTGTCGGGCATGTGTTCAGTCTGGGCTTACATGTGGAGGTGTCAAAAAGGAGTATTTTTTAGGCCTCGGGCCTGTGTTCAGTCTGGGCTTACATGTGGAGGTGTCAAAAAGGAGTATTTTTTGGGCCTCGGGCCTGTGTTCAGTCTGGGCTTACATGTGGAGGTATCAAAAAGGAGTATTTTTTGGGCCTCGGGCCTGTGTTCAGTCTGGGCTTACATGTGGAGGTGTCAAAAAGGAGTATTTTTTGGGCCTCGGGCCTGTGTTCAGTCTGGGCTTACATGTGGAGGTATCAAAAAGGAGTATTTTTTGGGCCTAGAGTTGTGTTTGGGTCAGGCTTACCCGTGAAGATGTCGAAAAAGTGTAATGTTTGGGCTTCGGGATGGTCTTACACATGAATGTGTCGAAAATGAGTAATTTTCAGGCCTCCAGCTTGCCTTACACATGGAGGTGTTGAAAAGTGTCGTCCAAGCCATGCTTTTGGGCTTTGGGCTAGCGTCCGGGCGGGACTTATACATGGAGTTAACGAAAATTGTTGTTGGTGCTGTGGTAATGGGCTTCGGACTACTGTTTGGGTTGGGCTTAGGCTTACACATGGAGGCGACGAAAAGGAGACTTTTTGGGCCTGGCCCAAGCTTTTGCAGGCCCAACCCGACTGATGAACATGTTTAATTGTGAGGAAAGGCAGTTCGAGCATAATGATCATTACCTTTTTTCAGGGAAAAAAACACACCCTCGCGCGAAAGCCTAATAATATTCGTTGTAACAGATTGCTACACCCGTTAACTAGCTCAATAGCCAAGATCCAAGATGGAACTCGGTCTTCAAGTAGAAGAGCCCACATAGCACATCTCGTCGCCTCCCATCTCCCGACGCAGTTCCAACTGGCCGGTCGAGAACCTCCGGAACATGAACACACCATGCCGCCAACCGTTGAATTCAAAGAAGGCCAAGAAGCAAGCATGCGTTCAGATTGTCAAAGAGGATGGATGCTTAATTACCTTGACCCACTGGTCGTGGGCATGACGCTCGGTGTGTCGTCGAGGTGCATCATCTTATTTCCGCCAGTGGCAATGTACCAGCGGACAACGAGATACGTTGTCGTGGTCGCCTGTGGTGATTTCTTCAATCTTGAAGTGGCATGACATCGAACATCGTGTAGCTTAGTTGCTGCCGCTCGCTCCTCATGTCTGCCCCGGCGCTCCTCGTCCTGCTCCACGACGGCCGGCACTGGCAAGATGCGCGCGTTCCTCCTGGCGCGGCGGCACCTCCGACCCAGTCCATGCCTCGTTTGCGAAGGCAATCTTTGTTTTGGTTGTGGGGGGCTTTATGCTATTTTGCATGGACATGAAGCGATTTTATGCGGGACCGATCTGTTGTGCCGACACACACACACACGTCATCCAGTAAAAACGTTGTAAAAATGTGTTAGAGCGTCGTTTAAAGCGGTTCTAGAGGACGAGGGTTTACGGAATCAGTTAGAAATGCTCTCAGACGATGCGCGCACGCACATGACACTTGGCTCAGGACTGTAGTAGTACTTCCTTCTTTTTTTAGTCCGCAAGCTTTATAGAATTTGACTAACTTTATATTAAAAAAATATAAACATTTACAATATGAGATCAATATTATTAGATGCACCATAAAATATATGTTCATACTATATAGTTTAGTATTGTAGATGTTTATATTTTTTTATATAAATTTGATCAAATTTTATGCAATTTGACTTTGATTAAATTTTATATGCGAAGTAAAAAGAAACGAAGAGAGTACTTAATCCACTGTAGATTGCGGCGCCCACGGAGTGCGTGTGCGTGCGAGGTTCGGCACGGCACGGGTTTGTGGACCGCAGATCCCAGGCTTGCAATCTCAGACGGGTGTGGGTTGGCAGGTGAGGCGGGGGTAGGTGGGTCAACCCAAACCCTCGCAGACCCGACCTACCCACCGCGGCGCCCCCTCCCCTCTCCTCTCCTCCAGATATCAATCAATTCCGCTCCTCCTCCTTGGATCCAAACCCTTCCCATCACTCTCGCTTGACAGCAGAGAGGAGCAGAGAGGAGGAGGAGGAGACCATGTCGTCGTCCGGTGGCAAGGTGTTCACCCTCGAGGAGGTCGCCAAGCACACCTCCAAGGACGACTGCTGGCTAGTCATCGGCGGCAAGGTATCTTCTTCCTCCTCCTCTCTTCCGTTCCCCGAGATCCGGCCGCCGCCGCGTGGGTCCTTGTTTTCTCTTCCTCGGGATCTCCGCCCACCCACGGCCGCCTCCTGATCCGCCCACCCTGCGCCCTCTCTTCCTCGGGATCTTCAGCCACGCGGAGTTGGCCACAGGGGGGGAGGAAAGATCTGAGGCCGCCGCGCCTCCAAACTCTTATCTAACTGTTCCGACCTGCTACCGCCGCTGCCGAATTGCCGGCCTGGCCTTGCTTCATCTCTCGCAATTCTCTCTGTTAGATACTCTGCCTCTTACCAAGGGGTCTGCGTCGCCTGTTTTTTGCTTGCTTCCGGATCGCATCTGCGCAGATCCGACCGCTGCCAGCCTGACCCCAACATGCTGCAAACCTTGTTAATACTACGTCAATTCAGTAGTAATCCTTCAAACATTTACTATATGCTTGCTTGCTAGGCTAACCATCTTATGCCTTGAATCATGACAAACAGGGTGAGCTAGTCTAGTCTTCATTTAGGCTGCCAAGCCTCTTGCGCATAGCTTCCAATCCCCAATCCCCAATCAGGGGCAGGGGCAGGGGCAGGGGCAGGCAGACGGGACGATCCACTAGCCGCTCTGCCTTTTTTCCTTTTACAACGGCGCTTCATCTCATCCGGCTGTTACGACTTACGACGACATTAGGCTAACGCGCACATGTTTCAGTTTAACCAGAAACCAACCTGCTTTGCAAGGCCAGTTTGATTCTTCTTGTTCATGGGCCGCTTGCTTGCTTGCTTGCTTACTGACCATACATACAGAGTTCCTTTCACCCAATCTAGTCTCATTAGATTCCATCCATACCGCTTAGCCCATTCACGGCACCAATTTTTTCGGTTGGCTTCCTGCCTTGATGTGTACATCTAATTAATAGCTGCCATATAATTATGGCCTTCATTCTTGTTCAGCGTTGCAATTGTACCCATTCGATTGTCCGTGCGTGCGTCACCATCGTTTGGTAATCTGTCCTCTTCTGGACCCCAGCTTTCCAAACAAGATGTCGACTCGACCACAAATATTTTCTCGGATGATTCCAAAAGCCGTGCATTGTAGTCTCAACAAGTGTGCGCTTCTTGTTTCTCATGTTTTCCTGCACATGATTTACAACTTTGTTGCAATTCTATACACGTGACGGTCCTATGTGGCTTACAGTTATGAAGTGGCATGCACATGCTTTTATATCTGCAAGCAAGGCCTTGTGTTATAATATTATGAAAGCCAATACTCACTGAAGAATATGATGTGCTCCTGTAGGTGTACAATGTGACCAAGTTTCTTGATGACCACCCTGGAGGCGACGATGTCTTGCTGTCTTCAACCGGTACTGCCCCATCACATGTTTATTTTGTATATAAATAAATAAGGCTGCAAAGGGAATGCGATTTCAGCTTACAAATTTGCTCTTTTTACATTGCAGCCAAGGACGCGACCGACGACTTTGAGGATGTGGGGCACAGCACGACCGCCCGGGCGATGATGGATGAGTACTATGTTGGTGAGATCGACGCGACCACGATACCCACCAAGGTCAAGTACACGCCGCCCAAGCAGCCGCACTACAACCAGGACAAGACCCCCGAGTTCGTCATCAAGATCCTCCAGTTCTTGGTCCCCCTCGCGATACTGGGCTTGGCCGTCGCCGTACGGATCTACACCAAGGCGGAGTCTGTCTAGCACCGTCGTCTTATACCAGTCAGTCAGTCAGTCATTCGGAAGTGTCCAAGAGCTGAATAAGTTTTAGTGGGGATTTGCATTTTGTACCAGCGTCACCGTCCTGTCATGAAATCTGGGAACTGTTCTCGACCCGTCGTTGCGTTATGGTTCTAAGACGTCCGCTGTTGAAATCGTGACTCGGGAAAACGGATAGATACTTGGCTATATTTTCCATATCGCTGGTGAATGTTCAGACATACATATTCTTAATTTGATGTGATTAGTTGTGTATGTGTCACTTTGCTTGTGTCCCTTGATCAACAGAGTCTCGGTGCATCTTTCTGGTGCTGGATGTTGTCACACTGAATGGCCTGTAGGTGCACCAAATTTGTACTGCTGTTGCAGTAGCAGGGCTACATCTTGCACAGAAAATAAAGGCAAATTGACACGTTAATATTGGCAAAGTGCCGATTTCTTTTAGCTAGGCCCCACATGTCATACACTTGGAAATTGTGGCAAAGGTTTCAGTCATGCTGATGCACATGTTGCACCTGGATTGATATATCCTGATAACTGGCCTCTTAACCACATTCAACAGCTGCATTAAGAGCACACCAAAAGCACATTTGTAAGATATGATAGATGATGCCACAAATGAATACATCTAGAACTTTCTGAGCCTACCTTTGCCTGGTATTACAAGGTAGTGAAAACTTTAAGAAGCCCGAATTGTTCAACAAAATTTCAGTACATGTTTCTGGTGCTGGATGTTGTCACTGGATGGCCTGTAGGTGCACCAAATCTGTACTGCTCTGGCAATAGCGAGCTACATCTTTTCACAAAAGCAAAAAAACATCAGTCATAATAATTGGCAGCCAAGTTAGGCAGGAGTTTAATTAGCCAACATAATTAGCTTAGAAGTGCCACATTTTTAGCCAGGTCCCACATGTCATACACATGGATACCAAAGAGGAATCAGCATGCAGGCAAAGATACCTACCTAGTCATGCTGATGCCAATGTTAGATTATAAGTGCCACAAGTTTTAGCCAGGTCCCACATGTCATACACACAGAACCGTGACAAGATTCCGGAGAACCAGCATGCAGGCAAAGATTCCCAGTAATGACTGCTGATGCAAATGTTACCTCTTAATAAACATTTAACAGCCGAGCACAACAAAGGCACAGCACTGATCTTTTACAAGCATGATTTACAAACAGTTACAAACAAGTGATGACTCCTTGCTTGGTTTTGCTGAAGCCAGCACATGTGTAAGATGTGACAGATGATGCCACAAATGAATAAACAAAATGAGCTAGCATCTAGCATCTACAACTTCCTGGGCCTTGCTTTGCCAGGAATTGGAAGGTAATGGAATGCTTGGTCTTCGAAAAACTTTACAAAGCCCAAATTGTTCTTGATGGCATCTTCAAGATTGACCTTCAGCGAGCCCTGAAAATGGGTTCAGGACAAGGTAGATTCAGTATCCTGACATCTAGCTGAGAGCGACATGATTTCACATTCTTTCATTTAAGAAAGAAACTGGGCCAAGAATCTAATTTGAGCATCTCAAGCATAGTATATGACAATATAAATAGGCAACAAATTTATTTATTTTTGACATGTCAGCATCTAGCTGGGAGCAAATGTTGGCTTGCCAAATATTGGCATCAAACCAACATATATGATTTCAGAGCTTTTAATTTACGAAGTAAACTGGGCCAATAATCCAATTTGAGAATATCAGGCATTATAATAGTATATAGGACAATAAAAACCAGTAACATACAAATTTAGTTTTGGTTTTTTTGTCATCCCCATAAATGTGCTAACTTATTAGCAACATCAAATGTCAACTTCTAGGGTGAAGAATTTGAATGTACTGCATTTCTAATAGTCTACTTGTATTTTACTGCAATAGGAACGGAGTATCTTCCAACAAATATCTCCTTATGTTCATGCTTAGCAGAAGTAACTCGCAATTACACTGTCAAGCCTCCTATTTCAAAACTTATAATACAGTTACATACAAATATGATCTTCATTCCGACTGTCATGACCTTTCAATGCAAACTATCATTGCAAGACCTTAAAAACTAAATCACTTGAGATCTCCTCACATATGTGATACAACGTTCCACCATTTAACATTCAATTATCATTTTATTTTGTGATACTTGGAAAATGAAACCAATTTATCCAACATGATTATAACACAATACAATAGTTTTCACAACATTATACACTGAGTTAATACTAGACCTACTTATCTGATCAAGTCAGATATTCCTGGATGCAAAGGGGGGGAAAAGCATAGCTCAGATCTCATTAATTACTGATTTTCAAGCAATTTGAAGTGCAGGTATATACTCTAATTAAACATTAACACGAGGTACAACCTTTGGTGTTCTTTCTCATTTAAGTATCATCTTGTGAAACACCATGGAATTAACTGATTCCTGGGTAAGGTTCACAAACAGCAGTTTCAACCAACTACACATAGAAGCATTGACTCATAGGGTCATGCACTTTGATAGGTTACACTCAGTATACCCCGCCTTGTTTCGTTATAATGAGAACTCAGGCAGCAATACAGATTTCAGTATGTAGCTCAGTAACATGGAGTAGAACCACCGACGAAGGAGAGGTTGGGCGTATGCTCACTGTATTCAACTATTGATGTAGGAGGCAGTTGTCCGATACAGATCTCATGTACAGTTGATAAAAGCGGAAACAGTTCCTGCCACCCATGATAAGTCAATACTTCATAGACTTCTCTTGCAGTGGATACCCCCTATGAAACAAACAAAAATTAGACACACCAAGTAGTCAACGCCTTCATTATACATTATAAATTTCTTATTTTTTCTTCACCTGCAGTTTTTGCCCATGCAACATTTCTGCCTCTAGCTCATCAAAAGACCTGTCATAAAGTTGATGAAATAAAAAGTTATCATATAATCACAGCAGGCAGAGAGAACATAGTCATGCTATGCTAACTGCCTATCTATTTAGCATAGGCCAAAAAGAAACAGGGCATCTTGTTTGGATACTTAAACAGAGGTAGATAGAGTCAGAACTCAGCAGAGATGCAGGGTTTAGAGAAGAAACCTTTTGCCGCCATTTCTTGCAAAGGCTTCTGCCACTCTCCTGTTTCTCCCACCAACTGCCATGGAATGATAACATTTTTTAGTATGTCTGTTCAGTGGTTAATTGAGAACAATGAAGATACGTACGGCATGTAGTTATAAGGTCAGCCACACCACAGCTCTCAAAGAAAGTGTTGTCTCTGACTGAAGGGAACAGAAGTTTAGAGAAAGCACGCATTTCCCGCAAACCAATCCGCATTATTGCAGCCTAATAAACAAAGAAAGATATCATAAGACTATGCGATGCACATGCACATTCTTTTCTTCATTCAAAATGCTTTCAGTAATAGAATTGATACCTTGGTGTTGTTTCCCATATCCAAGCCATCAACAAGACCTGCAAATTAATTCACCACTTAGATTACTGAAGTTGAAAGGAAACAGTGAATAAAACCACACAAAATACTACTGTATGCAAAAACCTGCAGCAATCGCCACAACATTTTTCAGTGTCCCACATAGTTCAACTCCCTCAATATCTTCCACCTGTACATGAAGGGTACATAATTAAGGCTGCATCAATAAGAATTCAATTCACAGAATTTACTGAACCTAAATGTAATTTGCTTTAAATACTCCAAGAATTGTTTCACATTTTTCTGCTACCATTCATGTTCATTGGTACCTCAATACCTCATAACTACATTCGAAATTTTACCATTTAGTAAGAAATCTTCCCTTTCCACTTTCACTTTCAAACCCAGTTCTTTTTCGACTTGGCAATTGTAGAAATTTAAATACCTTCATATTCCACACTTATCTATCACCATGCCAGGAGTGGAAATTAATTTATGAGGTTATGGCTGATGATCTTACAATAGCAACTAGGAAGTAAGGAGTGGTGAAAAGTTTAGCCCATCGGTTTGCTGCTTCTTTATCTTCCCTATATCCAATTGTTGCTTCACTGAACTTCTCAACAGCGATCTGCATATGAGATACACACCCACTTATTTTTTCTGTGCCGCTGAAGGCTATAAGAAATTTCGTATGGGAAGTTGAATAAACACTTGCCTCATTTGCAATGTTAGCACCCATGAGGACACAACAGTTGATTCCAAGTGTATCGGTAATTAGTTTTGATATCATGCATGGTCCTTCCATCTTGACCTCCATGCCCTTGATGAGGGATATAGCCTCAACTCCTGGTCTTAGTTTGCCCACAAGCTTCTTACATATACCCTCCACAAATTGATGGGGAGTCACAAAAACCAGCATATCGGCGTCTTTGACTGAGAAAGCCAGACTAATTATTATGGACAATTATCTGACAACATGCAAATGGCTTGATGTATAGTTGAAACGATAATGAAAAAATAATAATTATGAATTGTATACTGTTATGTGCATTATTATTTCTTAAGTAGTTTCCATAGGCAAACAAAGCCAAAAGGGACAAACATATCTGTGCACAGCAAAGCTCAAGTCATTAAACCGTCTAACCTTATTTTTGTTTCGTAAGTTTTCTTGATCAACTAGAAGAGAATGTATTGCTAGCATCCAAAGTAGTATTTCCTCCTAATGATAATCAGAAATGGGTTACAGTGCGGTTAATTACCTGCACTCTCTAAGTCGGGGTCAGCAATAACATTGGTTCCAAGCTTAATACCAGGTAGGTACTTGCAGTTCTCCTGAAACATGTGAGAATGAAACCATTCGTTACTGTACAAGTCATTGCCTGTTCAAGAATTAAAACAAGACAAATGGAATTAGATTTAACTCTTACATGTGCTTGGTTAATGGACTCAGATAGCTTCTCGCCTGTTGGCAATGTTTCTTCAAACACCCACATTCTCACTTCATCTGCAAACAGTTTACCCCAAAATCAACACCGACAGGTGCACAGATGCATCTTGAGTAACCAGAAGTGCAT